CCTCCTCCTCCTCCTCCTCCCTCCCTCCTCCCTCCCTCCCTCCCTCCCTCCCTCCCTCCTTCCCTCTCCTCCTCCTCTCCTCCTCCTCCTCCTCCTCCTCCTCCTCCTCCTCCTCCTCCTCCTCCTCCTCCTCCTCCTCCTCCCCCTCCCCCCTACGCCATACTTACCTGACCTATCTCCTCCCCACCCCTCCCCTGCTTCCTTTCCTCTCCACCCTGCATCTCCGTGCCAGAGGAAGGGGGCCCCCCGACGGCGCTGCAGGCGGACAGGCCTCTGTCGGCGCCCGGGGCGGGCGCCGCGCTCGTCGCCCAGGCGCGCACGCGCGCCTGCGGCCCAGCCCCCCGCGCTTGGCCGCGTGCCCCGCGAGACGGCCGCTGGCGGCTCCTGGGCCTTCTGCCCGGGGCTGTTCCGGAGAGGGCCGCTGCTTGGATCGGTGGCTGCCAAAGATGCCATTTTGGCCCGAGGTGCCCCCAGCGTTTCGCACCATGGCTGGAGCCTCTGGGCGACCTTTTTGGCCTCATGAGGGGTGCTCTGAGAGCGTGATCCTGGCCCAAGGTGTCCCAAACTTTTCGCTTCATTTTGGAACCTCTGGGTGCCCTCTTGGTCTCACGAGGGTTGCTCTGGAGGCCCTGGGGGTATTCTGGGAAATCCTGGGGACGCCTTGGGAAAGGGGCGCCTTTGGCAGCACCCGATGCAAGGGCTCCAGAAATTATCATCTCTTCCTCGGCGGAGGGTGGCGCAAGGCGGCAGAAGTAAAGCGAGGGCAGTTCTGCGAGCGGAAGCAAGAATCCGCCATCCAAGAGATGATTCTTGTTTGTGATTCAGGGCTTCTGGAACGAGGCACCTCCCCAGCAGGCGTTTCTGGTCACCCCGGCGAAGGCGAGCGAGCGCCGTCGCGTCTTCCTCCAGACTCCTTCCTCATCCCTTCCGCTCCTCACCCCATCCCCCCCTCCTCCTCCCCTTCGCCCCTCCTTCTCGCCCCCTTCCCTGGAAGCGCCTCCCCCTTTTGTCCCGCCTTCTCCCGCCTCCCGAGTCCCCTCTCCCTCCTCCCTTCCCCCTGCTGCTCCACCCCAGGCCGGCAGGCGCCGCCTCGCCCCACCCGTGCCGCGCGCCGCGGCGGGGGCGGCCGCGCGCGGGGGGGCCGGGCCCCGCACGGGCGAAGCGCGGAGTTTGCAGGCGGAGTCCTGGCATGTTTTTTTTTTGTGTTGTTCCCCCTTCGGCGGGGACACCCTCGAGAAGCATCTTGGGCCACCTCGCGGTCCAAGCCGCGCACGAAGCCGAGCAGCAGGCACGGGGAGTGGGCGCCCGAGCGATGGCAAGCGGGGGGGGGCGGGGGGCAGGCTCGCGCGGCGCGCGGCCGCACCGGCGATCTGCCCAGGTGCGGCGCAGGGGTGGGGGGGGGGGCCAGCGCGCGCGCGTGCGGCGGCGGCGCTATGCGCGGGCGATCGCTCTTGCCTGCGCACAGCGCCGGCTGCGGTGGGCAGACGGGGCCCAGGGGTCTGCTTGCTTGCTGGCGGGGTGTCGCCGCGCTGGTGTCGCGCATTCCTTTCAGAAGCGCCCGGGCCCTTCGAGGTGTCGGCACTTGCGGGGGGCGAGGATCGACGAAGGAAAAATACCATAAGCATGAACGTTTGGCGCTCCGCGCGGATTTCTTGGATCCGCGCGGGGTCCCCCCAGCTGCGCCTTCGGCGCCGCCCCTGGCGCGCTCCGCGCGCCAGGAATGAGGGTCCAGCGCAGACCGAAGAAATCCGCGCGGAGCGCCGAAAATTTACATCATGTTCATGGCATGTTTTCTTCTTCTAGAGGAGACGCTTCTGGATCTGGTGCAACGGACGCTCAGTTGGCAGCCACGTCGCGTGACCCCCCTCTGCCCCCCCGGCCTTCGCATGGCACAAGCGTTCCCAGAGGAGCGGGCCACACACAGATTGAGCCGAGCACCTCGAACGCAATACTTGCCAATGTCAAGGCCAGGGGGCGGAGAGGATAATTTGATTATTTATATTTCGGGCGTTGCTGTTGCACAGTGTTTCTTCAATCGTATGACCAACTCTTGAGATCTAGGCACAGGCATCATAACATGTGTATAGATATGTGTATATGTGCTGTGGCGTTACGTTCTGGGACGGTCATCACCGAAGCTTGTGCGCGAGATCTTTGTTATAAGCCAGCGCCACACATGAGCATTATATGTAGCGTTTCGTGCTGAACGTTTCAATCATAGATGTTTGAAACACGCATCGTGGCGTATACCTGTCCGAACATGTCACCTCATTCCCCCCACACTCCCCACCCCCATCACACACACACAGCTTCCCCGTCTGCGATGTTTAATTCCTGGCACTTGCATGCAGGCTTCGGAATATCATCGCAAGCTGGAGCCGCCCACGAGCCCTTCACGTTCGAATGCGCCGCCCGCTGGCGGAGCTCCTCTCACGCGCGCCGGGAACTGAGGGCGAAACATCGGGGCGTGTCCGCCTTGTTCCGGATCTGGGGCCATTGGCTCCAGGATTTGGGCAGGTTCTGGGCCCACGCGTCTTCCCTGTCCTCCTTTCCTCCGTCGACCACCCTTCCATGTGTCCCTCTACCCTCTTTCTCTCTCTCCCTCTCTCTTTATTGCCTTCTCTCTCTTGATATAACCCTATATATATACTCCTCTCCTTTCCGACAATACTATCCCCTCTCTCTCGCTGTCTCTTTATCTTGTTTGTGTTTGTTTCTCTCTCTCTCTCTCTCTATATCTCTATCTCTCTCTCTCTTTCTCTCTCTCTTTCTCTCTCTCTCTCTCTCTCTCTCTCTCTCTCTCTCTACGCACACACACTCTCACACACACACACTGCTCCAGGGCGCTACGAGGAGGAGGAGGAGGACGAGGAGGAGGAGGATTAGAAGAGAAGAACAGAGAAGCGAAGAGCAGCGCAGCAGCTAAGGAAGAAGGAGAAGGCGAGCGCCATCCCAAACAGTTCAGCTCACGAGACTCGGGACTCTGCATCCAAAGATTGCCTGTGCCCAGCGCGCTTGTCTTGGACAGGCGTGCCTGTCTCCAGATGCTCTGGCAAGGCCTGCTCTGCATGGCTCCATGTCCTGCCTCCCTTCCTTCAGGCCGTCCGACTGGGGCCCGAATAGATGGAGTCGGAGAATCGAGTTGCCTTGCCGATGTATCGGCGATTCAGAGCAATCCGAAGCCCGAGTTTCTTGGCCCCGACGTCGCCGACGCTTCGTCGACGCAAGCGCGATGCGGCCCGATTTTCCGACTCCGTCCAGTCCAGCCCCATTCAGGCAGTTTCCGCCACAGTTTGCACGGTAGGTTCGCGCCGCGTCGACGCGGCAGTGACGCGCACGCCGTCACGACGCTAAGTCAACGTTGTTGTTTGGGCTCAGGCGGCGCCGCCAGATCTGCTTGGGCACAAGCGGCGCAGCTGGGCCCGAGCCTGCCCGGCGACGCCCTGCTCCTGCTCACTTTTCCTCTCGGGGGCGCCCAAGAGGGGGTGATGATTAGGGGGGGAGATCGCGGCGGGGCCATGATACCTCCCTGGATCTCATGGCTACTTCTGATGTTTCTTCTGCGTCGTCCGTCGCAGTCGTCGTAGTCGTAGTCGTAGTCGTCGTAGGCGTAGTCGTCGTAGTCGTAGTCGTAGTCGTAGTCGCAGTCGTAGTCGTAGTCGTAGTCGTAATCGTAATCGTAGTCGCAGTCGCAGTCGTAGTCGTAGTCGTAGTCGTAGTAGTAGTAGTAGTAGTAGTAGTAGTAGTAGTAGTAGTAGTAGTAGTAGTAGTAGTAGTAGTAGTAGTAGTAGTAGTAGTAGTAGTAGTAGTAGTAGTAGTAGTAGTAGTAGTAGTAGTAGTAGTAGTAGTAGTAGTAGTAGCAGTAGCAGTAGCAGTAGCAGTAGCAGTAGTAGTAGTAGTAGTAGTAGCAGTAGTGCAGCAGCAGCAGCAGCAGCAGCAGTAGTAGTAGTAGTAGTAAGTAGTAGTAGTAGTAGTAGTTGTAGTTGTAGTAGTAATAGTAGTAATAGTAGTAGTAGTAAAAGTAGTAGTAGTAGTAATAGTAGTAGTAATAGTAGTAGTAATACTAATAGTGATAGTTATGGTGATAGTAAGAGTAATAGTAATAGTAATAGTAATAGTAATAGTAATAGTAATAGTAACAGTAATAGTAATAGTAATAGTAGTAGTAGTAGTAGTAATAGTAGTCGTAGTAATAGTAGTAGTCGTAGTAGTCGTAGTAATAGTAGTAGTAGTAGTAGTTGTTGTAGTAGTAGTAGTAATAGTAGTCGTAGTAGTAATAATAGTAGTAGTCATAGGAGTAGTAGTCGTCGTCGTAGTCGTAGTCGTAGTCGTAACAGTAGTAGTAGTAGTAGTAGTAGTAGTAGTAGTAGTAGTAGTAGTAGTAGTAATAGTAGTAGTAGTACTACTACTCTACTAGTAGTAGTAGTAGTAGTAGTAGTAGTAGTAGTAGTAGTAGTAGTAGTAGTGGTAGTAGTAGTAGTAATATTAGTAGTAGCAGTAGTAATAAGATTAGTATTAGTAGTAATAGGAGTAGTAGTCGTAGTCGTAGTCGTAAACGTAGTCGTAGTCGTAGTAGTAGCAGTCGCCGTCGTCGTAGTAGTTGTAGTAGTAGCAGTAGGAGTTGTAATAGTAGTAGTAGTAGTAGTAGTAGTAGTAGTGGTGGTAGGTGTATTAGTCGTAGTAGTGGTAGTAGTAGTAGTAGTAGTAGTAGTAGTCGCAGTAGTCGTAGTAGTAGAAGTAGTAGTAGTCGTAGTAGTCGTAGTAGTCGTAGTAGTAGTAGTAGTAGTAGTAGTAGTAGTAGTAGTAGTAGCAGTAGTAGTAGTAGTAGTAGTAGTAGGATCAGTAGTTGTAGTAGTAGGATTTGTAGCAGCAGTATTAGTAGTAGTAGTAGTAGTAGCAGTAGTAGTAGTAGTAGCAGACGTAGTAGTAGTAGTAGTAGTAGTAGTAGTTGTAGTCGTAGTAGTAGTAGTTGTTGTTGTTGTAGTAGCAGTAGTCGTCGTCGTCGTCGTCGTCGTCGTCGTCGTCGTCGTTCGCGTCGTCGTCGTCGTTTTCGCAGTTGTCGTAGTAGTCGTAGTAGTCGTCGTCGTAGTCGTCGTCGTATTGTTATTATCCTTAGCAATATGAGTAGTTTTATTATCATTTGAAGGTGTCTCCTGCTCCCTCCCTCGTCCGCGCACGTGCGTCCGACCATGATGTGCGAACCCCCTTCTTGGACCCCCCCTCTTGGAAGCCCCGATCCCCACCCCCCACTAGCAGACCGCGGCATGCCTGCCGAGCACGCGGGGCTCCCCACCGTGGCCGAGGAGGAGGGCGAGGACGATCCGGGCCCTGCCAGAGTGCGGCCCTGGCCCGAGGTGCCCCCAGGGGTTCCTCTGGGGGCTTCCGAGGGGCCTTCCATAAAGCACCCCCCTCGCGAGGCCCACGGAGCTCGTTTCGATTCCTCCGATTCGATTCGATTCGCTTTCGATGGCTTTCGATTTCGATTCGATTTGGGATTCCGCTTTGGGCTCCGATTTCTCTTTGGGGGTATACTAGCCTCCCGATTTCCGCCGATTCGGCTTTTCCCGACTCGGCTGCCGATTTCCGCCGATCCGATCCATTTCGATCGCCGATCCGACTCATCGACTCGATTCTGGGGTCGCCTGGGCCCAGAGGGACCCCTGGTCTCCAAGACAGCACGAAGAGCTGGGGGCACCCGAGCAGCGCAGGAAAAAACGTGGTCGATGGCGCGGACATTCGCGCGCGAGTTGCCCGAGTGAGACGACGATGCGCGTAAGCGCCTCTGTTTCCAATTGCTCGTGCCGCGCCCGCGGCCCGCGCAAGCCGCATGCAACAGACGCGAGGTCGCTACACCATCGTGCTTGTGGCCTGTTTCTTGTCTGTGCTCCCGTACATGGACATTGTCTTCGAACCCTGCGGCCCAAGCTGCCCCCCAGACGCCCCGACATTGATATCGATGGCGTGACGACGGGGGGGCGTGAGTGGGCAGGGATATTCGGACCCCCAAAAAGCACCGCCTTTACAGAGATCAACATCGACGTCGGGGGCGGGGGGGGGATTTGGAACTTCCCTCGAGTGAAGGGGTTGGAACACAGTGTCCACCTGCTGTCCCTCGGGGCCAGGGGGCACCCGTGGCAGCCCCCGAAGCCATGAGCCCCGTGGCCCGGCCCCGCGCGCCGATCAGCTGCTGGCGGACGAGGTGGCCGAGCTGCGCCGGCGGCTCAAGAAGCAGGAGAGCTACAGCCAAGACGCTGAAATGAGGAACAGTTTGGATTCGGAGGGGGCTCGATATTCCTTACGTCCTTCCGCGGTTGTTCCTCTAGCCCTTCTCGTGCACCCAGGCTTTTTTGAAGCCCCAGAGGGGCTTCGTTCCTTATTTAGCGTTCATTGTTTCAGTGGCCCGACTGTATGGTGCTCCAACCCAGTTCAGCCTCGACTGCCAGGAGGAATTTCGAGCATCGAGGAAGTACCGAGACTTGATGGTTTATTCACGTGTCGGGCCCTGGGAGGCGATACTCGTTCGACACCGTTTCCATCCTTTTCTGGGTGCTCGGAATTTTTGTTCTGGGATGTGGTCCGTAAGTACGATGGGAGCAACAGAACAGGAGAGCAGGATCAGCGAGCTGGCCACCTACGCGAGCGTGATCCAGAAGGAGAGCATCCTGGCCCTCCAGGAGACTTGGCTTCCCGGATGCGCACGTCTTGAAACTCAGCACGCGCCGCCGCCAGCGCGTCTCACGCGCGCGTTGGCCCACGTCTTGACGCACGTGCCGCGCCAGACCTGCGCTCGCAGTCTGCGCGTGTTGAGCTCCGTGTCGACGCTCGGCGGCGCGCCCCCGGGGGGGGGACAGTGAGGACAGGGCGGGCCTTCGCAGAAGACTCGGAAGCCCCCCGGCCTGCTGAGGAGTCTCCCGAGCCTCCCCCGAAGACGCGGAAGGCCTCTCAGGAGGCGCGAGGGCTTCTAAGAAGTCCCGCCGCCTCCTGAGAAGGCCTCCTCCTGCCCACTTCCCCCCCCCCCGCCCGCCGCCGAAGCGCGCTGCGGGCTGCGGGCTGCGCATCGGGGGAGCCGAGCCAGGAGAAGGTCGAGCGGCTCTGCGCCCGCTCGGACGCGGGCGCCGCGGGCCTGGAGTCGCCCGAGGCCGAGCGGCCCGCCGAGGAGGGCGAGGCGCCGCGGAGGGCGCCGGGCGACGACGAGCGCCTCAGCGCCCTGGTGGAGCTGCAGGTCGACAGGCGGCTGGCCGAGGAGCTGGCAACGGTGCTCGAGGGGGGAGAAGCGCCATAAGCATACGGTCAAGTCGGGCACGTCCTTCTACAGGAGGAAAAAATCAGAAATAGTCCAAAAGTCGTCTAGGGACGATTTTCCTATTATTTTTGACCATGCGGGGGCATTTTTTGACTATCGTTAATCTGTCGTCCAAAATCTGCCTGTAGGGGGACATGCCCAACCTAAGCACGCGGTCGGGAACCTGGGCTCAGCGCGTCGCCCCGCCAGCTTTGGGCCACCGCGCTGCGGCGCGGCACGCTATCCCCGGCTCAGTCCCCAGGCATCAGAGTCCCGAGCCTTTTCCCCAGCCTCCCGCCCCGCGGAGCGGAGCGAAACGCAGTCCGCTTGCGCGGCACAGCTTGCTGCTGGGGCCGCCGCCGCGACACGCTGAGCAAAAGCTCCCGGCCGTACACTTTCGGTTTTTCGCGCTGACTTCTTGGATCGGCGCTGGGCCCCCTGGCGGCGCCTCCCGCGCCGCCCATGGCGCGCTCCGCGACGCCAGAGGGGGGGGGTCCAGCGCAGATCCGGGAGGTCCACATAAAACTCGGACAGCTTCTGCTCGTGCGGTTGTTTCCTCACTCTATAGGTGCGGCAGCAGGTGCAGGAGGCCCTGGCGCCCCAGGCTGCCGGGGAGGGGCTTGCGCAGGGGCTGGCCGCAGAGGTGAGGGAGGCGTTCGAGGCCATCCGCGGCGACCTGCAGCTGCAGGGCGCCGAGAGCCAGGCGGGGCTGTCGACGCTGCAGGTGCAGATGGAGGGCTGCCGTCTGCAGACGGTGGGCTGCGAAGCGTCCCTCGCGGACCTGCGGGCCGAGCTGGACAGGCGGCGCGGCACCGACGAGGAGGCCATGCAGAGCTGCTTGTCGGGCGTGTGCCAAGAGCTCCGCGAGACGCAGATGTCGCAGATGCGCGCTCTGCTCGACCACGGCGAGAAGCTGGACGCGTGCGGGTCCAAGGTGCAGGAGCAGGGGTCGCGCCTCGAGGAGCTCGCGGCCACCGTGGGCGAGCTCTCACACTGCCTGGTGGACATCGGGTCCCGGCTCCGGGATCTGAAGGAGTGCGTCTCCGGCGGCGGGGAGGACAAAACCGATTTTGCCGTGCTCGGGCTCCGCCTGCAGGCTCTGGAGCACCTTCTGGCCACCAAGCGAGGCCAGAGAGCGGGCGCCGAGGACGCCACAACGCCTGCCGCGGACCAGCCGCAGCAGGCCACAGCGCTGGAGGTCGACCTGGCGTCGTCCAGCGGGTGCTCGCCCACGAGGCGGCCTCCGTCGCCCGTGCAGCAGTCGCCCGCTGAGGCTGGCGAGCTGCCGCCTGGCGCACCGGCTGCGGCAGCCCCCGCAGAGGTCGCCGTCGCGCCGTCTTCCCCGCGACAGCTCGCTGGGCAGGCTGCCGAGTCTGAGCGCGCGCCGGGGGGCACGAGCGCAGCGGGCCCCTCTGGCTCGCCCGCGTCCACGAAGACGCTGACTCCGAGCCAGGCGACGCCGGCATCCGCGGCGACGCCGTGCGCGGCAGCGGCCACGACGGCGGAGGTGCGGATGTTGGGCCAGGACTTCGAGGTGGCAGTCGCGTCCGACGAGGCGGCCGCCGCCCGCTCGCGCACTGCCCAGCAGCCTTCAGGCGCTGGCATCGGCGTCGTCCGCTCTCGGAGCGCGCCCCTGGGGCTGCAGGGGGGGAGCAAGCCGCAGCCCGCCGCGCAGCAGAAGGCTGTGGCCTGCCAGCCCGTGGCGCTGCCTTGGTCGCAGCGCGTCCCCACTGGGTCTTACGCGCAGGTGGGTCGCATAAGTCAAAGGAAAAGAAACGCCATAAACATAAACTTGTGGCACTCCGCGCGGATTTCTTGGATCTGCGCTGGGCCCCCCGGCGGCGCCTCTGGCGCCGCCCCTGGCGCGCTCCGCGCGCCAGGAAGGGGGGTCCAGTGCAGATCCAAGAAATCTGCGCGGAGCGCCAAGAGTTTATGTTTATGGCGTTTTGTCTTCTCCTACTAAGGAGGTCTGACAGAATGACCCCGCACATTTCCCCCTTCGGGTCTCCGGGTGACACTGTCACCCCCTCTGTACAGTTTTCCGTCGGGGTTTTGGCGGTGGCGGATGGAGTGTGATCGCTTCCCCCTGCTTCTTCTGCTACTTCTCATGCGCCATAGCACAACTGCCTGTATTGTTGCTGATATCGCTGCCACTCCTACTGAGTGCCCCCACTGAGTACAAGTACTGATCACGAGTATCGAGTGCAAATACAATGACGAGTACAGAGTAATATAGCTGGGACGCGTACCCAAGAACAGAAGAGTTGGTAATATTTGCTCTCGACTACCGAGAACGAGTGTGTCAGGTAGGAAGGTCGGGCATCGATTACGAACAGAGTCGGTTAATCACCGTTGTGAGTAGATCTTATTCACTCATCACGCAGGCATGTCGTTGCTGCGATGAGTACGAGTCAAATCTACATTATCAGTACGTCGAGTGCTTCGACGGCTACGAAGAAGACGACCGCTGCTGCTGCTGCTGCTGCTACTACTACTACTACGACTACTACTACTACTACTACTACTACGACTACTACTACTACTACTACTACTACTACTACTACTTCTACTACTACTACTACTACTACTACTACTACTGCTACTACTACTACTACTACTACTACTACTACTACTACTACTACGACTACTACGACTACCACGACTACTACGGCTACAAAGACGACGACTACTACTACCACTACTCCTACTCCTACTACTCCTACTACTACTACTACTACTACTACTACTACTACTACTACTACTACTACTACTACTGCGACTGTGACTGCTACTGCGACTACTACTACTACTACTACTACTACTACTACTACTACTACTGCTACTGCTACTGCTACTGACACTACTACTACTACTACTACTACTACTACTACTACGACGACTACTACTACTTCTACCACTACGACTGCTACTATTACTACTACTACTACTACTACTACTACTACTACTACTACTACTACTACTACTACCACCACCACTACTACTACTACTACTACTACTACTACTACTACTACTACTACTACTACTACTACTGCTACGACTACTACTACTACTACGACTACTACTACTACTACTACGACTACTACTACTACTATACTACTACTACTACTACTACTACTACTACGACTACGACTACGACTACTACTACTACTACTACTACTACTACTACTACTACTACGACTACTACTACTACTACTACTCTACTACTACTACTACTTCCACTATAACTACTACTAGTATAACTACTACTACTACTACTACTACTACTACTACTACTACTATTATTACTACTACTACTACTACTACTACTACTACTACTACTACCACTACTACTACTACTACTACTACTACTACTACTGCTACTACTACTACTACTACTACTACTACTACTACTACTACTGCTGCTGCTGCTGCTGCTGCTACTACTACTACTACTACTTCTTCTGCTTTACTACGTATTACGAGGTGCAGGTGAGCCTAAAAACTACAAACTACCCAAAGTCAAATTCCACTCAAGCGCCACCAGCACGTCTTCCCATACTTTGATTTGCAGTTGCCACATTTGATATTACGTTTATTGTAAAACGTGGCACACACTTTCCAATATTAAAAGGACGGCTACGCTTTCCCGCAGATGGACAACTATGTGTCATCAGAAGCGGTGGTTGACCACTATTGGCTAAAACACAGAGTGCCAGTGTCGATCGGCACGTATCCATAGAGAAACGCACGGACACTGCCAATAAATGTGTTTCTGATTTCGGGATTCGGCACCTCGGAGCCCCACTTCAGCCACACACCCAGGGACAATGTAAGTCGCCTGGTCACATCATTAAGATGTTCACAGTTTGGCGCAGTTTCGTCTTTGTTGTTCTGGAAAAGGGGAGTAGTTCTAAATCATACTGTCTGCAATGATTATGTGGCACTGCCGATACATTCTCGATGGGTCTCCATCCATTCCGATCTGATCTTTGTCTCCACTTTTGATTCTGATCGGTTGCGTCAAAGTACTGATTGTGTGTGTCCTATTTGTTTCCCGCGCCTTCCATGGTGGGCCCTCGCACGAATGTCGAATGGATTTCTGGTTCTGATGGCATCCAGAATGCAGTCCGACGCCTCCCTCGAATCATAGCCGTCAAAACAACAGATTGTTCTCTATGTGCCACTGGCCCCCACAGACCCCCGAGACCGCCGAAATAAGTAGCGACGAGAGTTCTATGGGCGGAATGGCGTCTCGACAAGTGCTCGTTGAGGTGGCATGACGGCACTGAGTCAGGGGAACGGGTCCTAGACCAGCTTGTCATTTATCCTGAGTCGTGTTCGACAACCCTGGGGTCTGAAGATAGCCCCGAATGCCCAACAACAACGAAACGAATCAGGGCCCATTTCCTTCAGAACCTAATTGCTTCATGGCGAGTTGAAATTGCCCCGGGGGCTAAAAAGAATATACACCCTCCGTTATTGGCGTTGATGAAACAGCCCTGGGTGTTTGTTGAGCAGCCTTGACATGGTCGGTTCTTTCTCCAGACGCATCTACTAAAGAGCGTCGCTCGCAGGGGTGCTTCTTATGAGGGCGACTGTTCTGCCCTCTACCAGGGGCAGCTGATCGCGCGGACGGCCCCCATCGCCTGATCGACGCGGCGGCTATCTCCGCGCAGGGTTCAAGGTTGAACGCCACCAGCATACCTGAGTTACCAGACATCGAGTGATCTGCGCAACCACAAAGCCGCGGTGTCAGAAGCCAATACGCAGGTCGTTAAGACACGAATTTGCCGTACACCCACTACGCTGAAGGAGTGGCCTTCTTGGGTTCGGGAGAGGCTCTGGCTCCCGGGCCGGTCCTGAGATCCGGGTCGACGAAATTTGTTCGTGGACGAAATTTTGCCGTGGCCAGACGAGCTCATTCGCTCCTCTTGGCAGCACGATGGCTGCACCCGGTGATCGGCGGCGGGCGAAGGGGGGGGAGTGAGAAGGAGGAGGCCTTCGCAGAAGGCGGCGGGACTTCTCGGAAGCCCTCGCGCCTTCCGAGAGATTTGTTGTGCTTCGGGGAGGGCGTGGAAAATGTTTCAGAAGGCGGGAGGTTTCCGAGCCTTCTGAGAAGGCCCGCCCCTTCTGATTTGAGCGACGCAGAAAAACAGGGTCGCTTTCACCGACATTGGCGCGTAAGTTGCCCGCGTAAGGTCGCGCGTAAGCGCCCTCGCTTCCAGCGCAGCGTGCCGCGCTAGCAGCCCGCGCAGGCCGCGGCGTAAGATCGCTGTACCCTCTCGCGTAAGACCCGTTCCTTTTCGTCGCTCGCGTCCGTTCATGGGCTCGCCGCCGAGTTCAAGCCGCCCCCAGGGTCAGTAAGTACCGTTTAACCGACCCCCATCCCCATCCCCATCCCCTTCGAGACCCCCACCGCATCACCCCCCCCAGTTGGGGATACACCACTCGTCGAAACCCGAAGGGAACGGTCCCTAGATATACCCATCTCGGAGGGTAAATCGGCCAGTGGGTCCGAGGCGGGAATTTATACATGACCACCGCCTGGAGGATCAGTTTTCGGAGCCTCGGCAGGTGGTGGATATGGACATGTTCGGGCCCTCAGGGGCCGAATGATATCCATATCCGCCGCCCGCTGGGGCACCAGGACGTCGGTTCCCAGGCGGTGGGTATGGACAAATCCCCGCCTCGCAGTGGGGCCCAAGCCGCGCCGCTGGGGATAGGGCCTCCACGGTGTCCGCCGCCCGCCTCCCTGCCCCGGTGCCCGCCCTCGAGCCCAGTGCGTCCCGGCGCCGAGGGGGGAAGGGCCAGGCACGAAGAGGAGGAGGAGGAGGAAGGAAGGAGGAGGAGGGAGGAAGGAAGGAGGAAGGAGGAAGGAGGAAGGAGGAGGAAGGAGGAAGGAAGGAGGAGGAGGGAGGAAGGAAGGAGGAAGGCGGAAGGAGGAAGGAGAAACGAAACTCACAGGGGCAGCTGCTCGCGCGGCCCGCCCCCGCGGCCTGGCAGCACCAGGCCCCCGCCGGGACGCACCGCGCCCCGCGCGGCGGCTCGCCGGTGCCGCTCCGGAGCGCCCTCGGCGGCGCGCGGGCGCCGGAGGCGGCGGCGCCGGTGCAGCCAGCGCCGAGCTTGCTGCAGAGGCCCGCTGGAGCCGCCCTCTCCCCAGACGTCCAGCGTCTCGGCGAAGACCGTCGGCGGCGAGCCAGGCCGCTTTTCGGGCTCGAGGTGTTCCAGGTTTCCGGGCGTCTTGGCAGTTTCTGGGCGGTTCTCCGCCCTCGGGATGCGTTCCAGCGGCTGCGCCTCGCCGAGAGCGTTTCGGGTATGCCCGGATCGTGCCGAACGGTCGACGGAGACCCGAGCTATGACCTGAAAACTGAACTCGGCGGCGCGCCTGGGGGGTGGAAGTGAGAAGAAGAAGAAGAAGAAGAAGAAGAAGGCCTTCCCACGAGGCGGCGGGACTTCTCAGAAGCCCTTCGGCCCTCTGAGAGGTTGTCTGTCCCTGCGGAAACGGATGAGGAAACTTGTCAGAAGGCCAGGGGACTTCCGAGCCTCCTAGGATCGGGCCGAACGCAAGGGGGGGATAGGGAAGGGGGGGGGACGAAATCTGCTGCATGCAGCTGGTTTCGGCCCCACCGCCGGGCCCATTCCTCGATATTGGGCGCCTCCCGGCGCTGGGAGGCGCTGGGAAAATCAGCTGCGTGAGCTGATTCTCCACCACACCCTGTGCTATATCCCCCCGTTTGTCCCCCCCGGTCAGGAAGGCCCGCCCCTGCTCACGTCCCCCCCGGGCTCGCCGCCGAGTTTCGGCGAAGATCGGGGCGGGGGTTTGGTGAGTCGTCCTCGGCCCCAAGGGGGCCGTCAACAAAAATCGGCTCGGGGGGGAAAGCGGGCCTTGGGGAGAGGGGGTCGGGACGTCTGTGGCGGATTGGGGGGGGGTCAAAATCAAGACGTCGGTTTGGCCTGTTCCGTATTGGATCTCTGGAGGCCCCGAAGCGTGCTCCCCAGGGCCGCGTTCTCGTCCCGAGCTGTTCTTGTTGACGACCATGGAGCCCAGAGACGGCGACAGGTTCGCCAGGGCAGCGTTTCCATCCCGAGCTGGTTTTGTCGATGGCCCCCCAGAGGCCAAGCAAGCGCAAGAGCCTCGGCGCACCCAGACAAGTCGACTCAAGAAATCTGCACCTGTGCACTCGACATTGGCATTCGATCTTACCCCGTGCAGTCCCCGGTCGGTTTCGCCAATCGGCGTGCGTCTCGCTGGATTCATTCGGCTGCGTTTGGACGTCGAATGGATACCCCGTTAGGGGTGCACTCGGAATGCTGTACCGTGCGCACGTGGAGTGCCCTTGGCAGCTTTCACTGAAGGAGCCACCCTGCTGTCCAGGCTGCCGTCAATCAGAGCCCTTGACGCGGGGTAGCCCTGCACAAGTTGTGCGTTCATGGCGACGCGCCTCACAGCACCGAGGTGTTGGTGCGCCTAAGCATCGCCTGGGCACGGGGCAACGCCGTGGAGGGAAGAGAGGAAAAGGGCGTGCTGCCAGGGGTCGGCGGCGCGCCCAGGGGGAAGTGAGAAGGGATGGGCCTTCTCGGAAGGCTCGGAGGTCCCCCAAGGGCCTCCTGAGAAGTTTTCTGTAAGCCTTCCCCGAGGGCGCAGAGAACGCCTCAGAAGGCTGGACTCCTCCTGAGAAGTCCCGCCGCCTTCTGAGAAGGCCTTCTCACTCGGGCTTGCCACGGGAGCGACGGCTCGAAGCGTGGGAAGGCCCTCTCCTCCTCACTTCCCCCCCTCGCCCACCGCCGAAGAGGGGCCCCCGTCCGAGACGGCTGGGCGTCTGGGCCCCTCCGCCACGGCGACGCTGCTGGGCACGAGCCACCCGACGCTGGCTCCCGGCGGCGGCGCGTCGCCGCTTGGGCCGTCCACCCGCGGGACGGCGCTGCTCCGGTGGCAACACCAGCATCGGTACGATCGAGAGGGGTTACGGAGAGAGTGGTCGGGTGTTGCCAGAAGTGCCCCTGGCCCAAGGTGCCCCCCCCAGCTTTTCGCTCCGCTTTGGAGTCCCTGGGGCTTTCTGGGCTCGTGAGGGGTGCTCTGGAGGTCGTCTGGGCCACCCCGCGAATATTGGGGGCACGGGTCAGGAGCACTTATAGCAACACCCGAAGTGGGTACAGTCGGACCGAGGTATAAGATCGAGGTCGGCTCGGGTAGGGTACCCTGGTGCTCTTCGTGTTTGTCGGATCTTCTCGTGCATCCTGGGGGAGGGCACCCTCGAGTGATCCTAGGGGGTGGGTTGTTTTGGCCGGCGGAGGGTCTCATGTCCTTGAAGGATGTTCTTCTGGCCTAGGTCCGATTGTACGGAGAGAATGGGCACGACGACTGGCAGCAGTTCCTGCCCGTTTGGAACATGATTCGCTGACGGCGTCGTTTCGGACGTCGTCCATCTGAGGCAGATGGCCGCCTGCCCAACAGCGGGCGCTATCGGCTGCGGACGGCACGAGCTGCTGGGGCACCGTGCCCACGTTCTCCGTAGCCCTTTCGGGCGTCCCAGCAGCAGCTGCCCGTGCGCCGCATGGGCCCCTGAGGAGCCCCCCGCGCGCGCATCCAAGCTGGAGCGCGCGGAGAGCGGCCCGAGGCGGTGCCTTGAGCCATCGCGGGCGCCCGCCCCGGGGGCGGCTGGGAAGTGGACGCCACGACGTGCCGCACCCCGGGGGGGGGGGGGCGCAAGCTCTCGAGGCGCCCTGGGGCGGGCGCCGGCGAGCGGTGGGGAGAGCTCCTGCTGCGCCGTCGCCTTGGCCCGCCAAGCTCCACGGGAGCGCGCCGGCCTGGGGGGCACGTGGCCAATGAAAAGGGGGGCCACCGCCGCGGAGTTCGCTGGGGCCCTGCGCGTGGAGCCCCGGACCAGAGAGGAGGAGGAGGAGGAGGAGGAGGAGGAGGAGGAGGAGGAGGAGGAGGAGGAGGACCAGTGTAAACCCAAGAGTCATCAACGATGCTGGAATTCACCCTCCCTCCAAGCTCCCTCTTCAGAGGCCCCTACGACGGTTCATTTCCATTGAGGGAACTGCTTCGTTGGAAGACAACCGTTTAAAGATCATGACGCATGCCAAAACATTGTTCTCGGGATTTCAACGCCACGTATCAACCTGACTGCTGCGTCCTGACGACCAGAATCGTGCCAGAGCATTATCTTTTTGACTTCAGCACCGCGAATCAACAGAGCTGCTGCACCCGCGTAATCCTGAATCCTGCCAAAACACTATTTCTGGTACGCTGATCAGGGGAATCCGTGAAACTCTTGCAAAGTTTGAAAACGAATGTACGCGGCGCTGAGGCAAGAGCCACATTTTGAAAACGGCCCGCCCTCAATCCGTGAAACTCTTGTAAATGTTCAAAACGAATGTCCGCGGCGCTTAGGCGAGAGCCACATTTTGAAACGACCCGCCCTCAATCCGCGAAACTCTTGCAATTTGTGTTAAGCGAATGTGCGCGGCGCTAAGACTTACGGCCGGACCAAGGTATAAGATCGAGGTCGGTTCGGGGAGGGTGCGCTAATGTTCTTCGCATGCGTTGGATGGCTTTGTGCATCCTGGGGAGGGCACCTTCAAGCGATCTTATGGTTTGGGGTGTTTTGGCCGGTGGAGGGTCTCATGTTTTTGAAGGACATTCTTCTGTCCTAGGTCCGACAGTACCCAGGCTCTCGCTCTCTCTCTCTCTCTCTCTCTCTCTCTCTCTCGGCGACGAGCCCGGGGGAAAAGAGAAGGGGCGGGCCTCCACAGAAGGTTCGGAAGTCCCCCTGCCCTCTGAGATGTTTTCTCTAAGCCTTCCCGGAAGACAGAAAAGCTTCTCAGAAGGCGCGAGGGTTTCTGAGAAGTCCCGCCGCCTTCTGAGAAGGCCTTCTCCTTCTCACTTCCCCCCCTCGCTCGCCGCCAACTTTTGTTGTGTTTCTCTTTCTCTCTATCTCTCTCTTTCTCTCTCTCTCTCTCTCTCGTTTTTCTCTCTCTCTCTCTCTCTCTCTCTCTCTTGCGTATGTATATATGTATATATGTATATATGTATGTATGTATGTATGTATGTATGTATGTATGTATGTGTTCCTTCTGTCTGTGATGAAATACCCCCCCCCCCCCCCCCCCAAAAAAAAAAAAAAAAAAAAAAAAAAACGGGTCGCCAGCGTCCCCCCCGAGGGAGTAGCCCCGAAGCTTCAAGGAAAGCCCCCGAGGGCTTCCAGGAAAGCCCCAAAAGGCCCCCAAGAGAGACCGGAGACGCCCAGATGTCGCTCCAACACGCCAAAGGTCGCCCCCAAGACACCCCAAGAGGCATCAAGAAAGCCCAAGAGGCCTCCCAGACGCCCCAGGAGACCTCCACGAGGCCTTTCAAGAAGGCCGAAATGGGCAAAAGTCGCTTCATTTCTTCAGGAAAACATAAACATATACCTTTGGCATATTGATCTCTTGGGCTTTCACAGCGTCAGAAACAGCTTCAGAAGCACCCAAGACGGCCCAAGAAGCCCCCAAGCTCCAAGACGGCACAAAAGAGGCCCAAGACGGCCCAAGAGGCTCCCAAGACGGCCCAAGAGAGGCCCAGGACAGGCCCAAGAGGAGTCCCGGACATGGAAAGCCACCGTCAAATTTCGAGCCTTCGGCCCAAAGAGGCCCCCAGGAGGCCCCAAGAGAGGATCCAAGAGACCCCAAGACGCCCCAAGAGGCCCCCAAGAAGCCCCCGGGAGGCCCCCAAGAGGCACAAAAATTGCTTCAACGCAATTATTGTTCCCAACCCTCCTGTGAGTTGGGTCCTCGATCAGAATCCGCAACGCCGCGCGTCTCACTCCCTCCTCCTCCTCCTCCTCCTCCTCCTCCTCCTCCTCCTCCTCCTCCTCCTCCTCCTCCTCCTCCTCCTCCTCATCATCATCATCATCATCATCGGTCGCCATTGGGTTGCGGCGCCGATGGGTCGCAGCGCGGATAAGTCGCGGGCTAATGGTTCTCAGGACCGATGGGTCGGGGGGGGTCGCGAAGCGGCTGGGTCCCGAGCGTCGCGCCCCGCGCCAGCCCGCCCGCCCTCACTCTTCTCCGAAAGTGCGGAGTACTACATGCCTATCCACTGGCCCGTCCAGAAAAAACGCATCGGCGATTTGCCTGGGCGACTGTCCGAACGGGCGAGCCCATCCAGACAAGACGGATTTGGCTTCTCCGTGCGCACAATTCCCACAAATCTCATCGGAGAATGGTGCCTTCGCCTGAACGCCAGCCACCTCACTGCCCGGATTCGCTGCTACCGCCCCAGCGCCAACCGTCTCCCGAAGTAGGAGTGGCACTCTCGCCTGAGCCTTGGCCACATCCGCCTACTGCAATCGTGACCTCCCGCACGAGACAATTGACGGCCGCATATGCCTCCCGCTCGTGCTGGGCGATTGCCGTGCCTGGCGTCAAGTTTGGCCCACGCGGGCCAGGTGCGTTGCCAGTGGTGGCTGCGTCACCTTGGCTTTCCCAGCGTCAGGTTAAGGGGTGGGCAGTAGCAACATTGCATCTACATCCGCATGTTTACCGCAGCGGCCATAAACATCGTAGGTGAAAGGATCAAGATTAGAAGGCGAAGCGCAACGAGCCTTATAATCTTGTGCGTATATCTATACATAGATACACAAAACTACATTGGCGCTTCGCGCCATGCGCCTTGTTCTGGACGCTTCCCCGGCAAAGGAATAAATCATCGTTCGCTTTAGCACCTCTCCCCATGGGAAAAGGTAAGGAGACAAGTTTCCTCTGGCTTTTCATCTGCCACCACCAAGGTTTATCCCTACCCATCCCTTCCTCCTTTCCTCCTCTTCCGCTTCCTCCGATGGTTGAGTCTATCCTTTGAGGAAGTAAAGAGCGCTCCCATGACACACCGAAGAAGTCGCAGTAGCACCGAACAATATATTGTTATTCGCTTCCGGAATGCCTGGAGGGTTCCAGGCATTCTGGAAATTTTCAATCGTCGAAGTTCGAATCTAGATCATTCTAGATCAATTGCTTGTTTTCTCGATCGAGGAATTTAAACCTCGCGCCTCAAGCGTGGAACCAAGATCGTCGGGTCAGCTCGATGTACTTCGTAGGAGAACGACGTCTGGGCGTTTTGTCTGCTTTTTTGGACCGTCCTGGGGCCCTGTTGGGCCGTCCTGGGGCCGTCTTGGGGAGTTGGGGCCGTCCAGAGGTCTTCTGAAGCCATCGAGGGCCCTCTGGGGGGCCTCCAATGGCCTTCTCGGGTGTCTCCCATGGCTTTCGTGGGTCTCTCTTGAGAGCCTTCTGGGGGCATTTTGGGCTTCTTGTGGGCAGTCTCGGGGCTCTCTGGGGCAGTTTTCCTTGGGCCATCTTCAAATCCTCTGGGGGGCCTCTTGGGGCGATGTCGGGGGCCCATCGGGCCGTCTTGAACGCTGCGAAGACCCAAGAAGCAATATGCTCAAAGTACACATGTTCCTGAGGGAGTGCGGCGATGTTTGTTTCTTCGACGCTGTCTTAACGGCCTCTTGCGGCGTCTTGGGGGCCTCTTGAGCCGTCTTCAGACCATCGAGGTCTCTCTTGGAGCGCTCTTGTGCTGTCTTGAGTCTCTCTTGCGCCTCTCCGATGACCCCTCTGATCGCCTTGAGTCTGCTCGCAAGGCCCGGCAAGGGCCGCCGAGACGTCCAAAAGGGCGCCCGGGGCGTTCCTGGGGGGGGGGTCCAGAATAGAAGAATAGGAATATATGTATATGTACATACATATACATATATATATATATATACATACCTATATATATATATAGATATAGATATAGATATGTGTATATATATATACATATAGATATACACATCTATATATATAGATATATATATATATATATATATATATACATTCGAGCGCGAGCCCGCGCGCGCGCTGTTGCCGAGGGGGCGGCAGTCCTGCGCCCGGAGCCGCTCAGCGCCGGCGCAGGCCGAGCGGCGGCCCGGCGGCCCGGCGGCCCGGCGGCCCGGCGCCGCGGCCAGTCGGCTCCGTCGAGGCGTCGAAGTAGGGACCACATCGGCTTGCCTCTGGGCCCACAAAGGAATGTTCGAATAACCTCTGGTGGTTTGCACGAAACGTTCTTAGCCCATTTCTGGTTGGGACTCACCTGTGTTAGCACATCGGCTTTGTATTCTAAGAACTTTGCTCCTGTTCGCAGAACCCTTGCTGGTTCCATAACCATGCCGTGGTCGGCCTATGAGAATCCCGCCGCCTTTCCACCCTCGCTCCCCGAGCGGAGCCCGCTGGCCAACTTCGATCTCGTGCGGGTCTCGATGGCGACAAGATGCGCCGTGGCAAAATTGAGGAATCTTTCGGATCGGCGCAGCAGCATGCAGCGCAAAGCGAGGCGAAGCGCAAAGCAATGGAAAGCACTGCAAAGCAAGGCAATGCCAAGCAATGCCACGCAGTACAACGCAACGCAAAGCCATGCAATGCGACGCAGCGCAATGCGAAGCCATGCGATCGCAACGCAATGCACTTTTGCAGTTCAATGCGATTGCATCGCAATGCGATTGCAGTGCAATGTAATGCGATTGCAGTGCAACGGGGGAGGGGGGTGCAGCGGGGCGGTGACAACGGACGATAACGGGGCCGCCAGGCCAGCAAACGGGTTTCCTGTTGGAGAAAATTGGTCGGCGACGGATGTGAACGAGGCCGCCAGTGCAGCCAGCGGGCCACTTCTTGAGAAGCGAAGTAAGAACCCCTAGGGACAAGCATTGTTTGGGAAATATGTGAGAAGATGAGTGAATGACTTAATAGATAAAAATATTATCCCGGCAAAGCAACCTAACAGCGATGTGTAGGAGCATATCTGGAAGCATTCCCCTTAAGATTCAGATGAGAATCCAGTTGTAGAATTCTGCTGTTCTCGCAGTCGTAGTCGCATTCGCGATGACAGTCGCAGTGGCAACGGCAGTCGCAGTCACAGCCTCAGCCTCAGCCTGCCTCAGCCTCAGCCTCAGCCTGCCTCAGCCTCAGCCTGCCTCAGCCTCAGCCTCAGCCTGCTTCAGCCTCAGCCTCAGTCTGCCTTCAGCCTCGGCCTCAGCCTCAGCCTGCCTCAGCCTCAGCCTGCATCAGCCTCAGCCTCAGCCTCAGCCTGCCTCAGCATCAGCCTGCCTCAGCCTCAGCCTCAGCCTGCCTCAGCCTCAGCCTCAGTCTGCTTCAGCCTCACCTCAGTCTGCCTTCAGCCTCGGCCTCAGCCTCAGCCTGCCTCAGCCTCAGCCTGCCTCGGCCGCAGCATCAGCCTGCCTCAGCATTCAAAATGTGGCCCAGGAATAAAGTTCTGGGAACTAGACGAACACGAGGTGGCCTACAGTTGGCTCCGGGCATTCAAAATCATGCCCAGGAATGGAGTTCTGGGAACTTGAAGAGCACGAAGTGGCCTACAGTTGGCTCCGGGCATTCAAAATGTGGCCCGGGAATGGAGTTCTGGGAACTCGAAGAGCACGAAGTGGCCTACAGTTGGCTCCGGGCATTCAAAATGTGGCCCGGGAATGGAGTTCTGGGGACTCGAAGACCACGAAGTGGCCTACAGTTGGCTCCGGGCATTCAAAATGTGGCCCGGGAATGGAGTTCTGGGAAGTCGAAGAGCACGAAGTGGCCTACAGTTGGCTCCGGGCATTCAGAATGTGGCCCGGGAATGGAGTTCTGGGAGGTCGAAGAGCACGAAGTGTGTGACTGTTGGCTTAAAACGACTTCTGCGGCACCCTGTCCGGCACCCGCCCAGACCCCCCTGTGGAGTCATCTGCTGCTCTCTTTTGACCCCACTAGAAACCTATCAGTCTTCGCTGTTAGGTAATAAAAGCCTTATCATCCGCCTCCTCCTCCTTCTTCCCCTCCTCCCCCTCCTGCTGCTCCTCCCTCCTTGCTCCCGTGTGTGCTATCATAATCTGTAAAGCACTGCAAAACAATGCAAAGCGCGAGCCTCGCGCAATCAAAATCGTGACCAAGGACGGTGGCGACTCGCGGCCACAAGCTGGCTGGACTGACAACCAGGCCCAGCTCGTTAGAAGAGAAGCGAGAAACCCTAAGTGCAAGCATTGTTTGGGGCAAATTCTGGGGAAGTCTGGAGCGAAACAGTTGCCGGGCCAAACGATCTCAGGAGGCGGTCCCGGGCTCCCCATCGCCCCTGTGGGGCTTTTCTGCAATCGTTTGAATGCGCTTCAATTGGAACCCTCTAGCGAAACGCGGCCAGGGAAAAAGCACGACGCCGGGGATCTGGGCGGGAGGCAGCAGTGAGAGCCTTTCTTCGGCCTCGGTGAGAAAACTGGGTGAAGGCGGCGCGACAAAGAGGGGGTCAGGGAGGTGAGCGGGGGCGTCAGCGACGGGGTGCAAAGTGGAGGCGGCGACGCGACGGTGAAGGGGAAGGCGGGGGGCAGGAGGGACCGTAGTACATGTACGATAAATTCGAACCCTGCGGCGCAAGACGCTCCCCCAGACCCCCCAAATCAATATTGAGGGTGCGGCAGTAGAGGGGTCTCGAGTGGACAAACAGGCTCGAACCCCAAAACCATCACCCATGCTAGAATCATCAGAATCCCCCTCGAGCACGTACGGTTCGAATATTTTGTCCATGTGCCAGAGCGGTGACAGCGGCGGTGTGACAGTGAAGGTGGCAAGGTGGAGGGCCATCCGTCCGGCCTCGAGGAAAAGTTGGGCCTCCTCGAGGTGGTTCCCGTGCCTCCATGCGGGCCGCGCGAGGGGAGGAGGGCCAGGAGAAGGAAAAGAACAGGATGAGGAGGAGGAGGCGCCTCCCCCCCTCCTCCCATCTCCTCCCTCCCGCCCGCCCGCCCGCCCGCCCTCCTCCTCCTCCTCCTCCTCCTTCTCCTCCTCCTCCTCCTCCTTCTCCTCCTCCCGCCTCCTCCTCCTCCTCCTCCTCCTCCTCCTCCTCTTCCTGCTCCTGCTCCTCCTCCTGCTCCTCCTCCTCCTCTTCCTCCTCCACCTCCTCCTCCTCCTTATTATCCTCCTCCTCTTTTCAGGACCCTTTCAGTAAGGGCTCCACGGCGCGCGACAGCGCCGAAGCCCATCAGTCGAGCGCCTCCTTGTGGGCGCTGAACGTCTCCTCCGTGTCTTCCTTGCGAAGAGCGCCCCTCCCTTCGGCTCGCAAGCTGAGGGGCGCTCAACCTTCTCTGGTCTTTGTCTTCTCTTGGCGTCGTGAGCTTCTGCCGACCAGGCTGGTCGGTAGCTCTGCCTCGCCTGTCACGCGAGGCGGCGGCACCTTTGGGGCGCTTGCCCTGGAGCACGGTGCTCCATCTTGTAGTCTGCTGCTGGCGGGCTTGGCCTCGGTGCTGGAGGAGTCGCTGTCTGACAGCCCGCCCTTCCGCCGCTCATGGGCTGCGGGCCGCCAGACCGTTGCTTCTCTCCTTCGCCTGGTGCTAGTTGCCGTGTCGTAGCAGTTGTCGTGTCTTTCTGGCAGCCCGCCCTTCGGCCTACTGGCTGCGGGCTGCCCGTCATCGCAGTATCCTTGTTGTCGCCGTCGTAGGTCTTCATGGGTGCCCTCCGTGCAGAGCGGTGCGCCGTCTCGTTCTTTGCTGCTGGGGGGCTTTGCTTCGGTGCTGCGGGCCGCCAGTACTCTGCTTCACTTCTCGGCGTGGCGGCCGCCGACGTGTCGAAGCTGCTATCATGTCCTGCTGGCGGCCCGCCATTCGGCCTTCTGGCTGGGGGCTGCCATGCAGGTTCATGTTCATATTGTCGCTGTCGTTCGTCCTCTCGGGTGCCATTTGACTGTTGGGTTTGTAGTCGCTTTCCACCTCCTCCTCTTCCTCCTCCTCCTCCTCCTCCTGCTCCTCACCCTCACCCTCACCCTCATCCTCTTTTTTCCCCCTCCCCCCTCTACCACCCCCACGCCCCGATGCCGATGCTCAGTGCCCGTGGTCAGCGAGTGTGACGAGCAGCGGCTGCGGGACTTGCAGGAGGGGGGAGCCCGCCCTTTTGCGGTCGCGGGCCACGGAGGAGGAGGAGGAGCAGGAGCAGGAGGAGCAGGAGGAGCAGAAGAAGGAGAAGGAAAAGGAGGAGCAGGACTTGAGTGAGACTCGAGGGGAATGGGGGACTCGCGTGATCAAGGTCTTGGCAGATGGACGTTTGCCGCCAGGATATGGGGCCTGGCCAGATGCGCAGGGGGCTCATTGGTTCTTTAGAATCCAAATGTTATCGTTCGCTCGCCGTGCCTGTTTCGAGGAGTTCGCGGTGCAGTCCCGTAGAGGGGAGGACGAGGAGGAGGAGGAGGACGACGACGAGGAGTAGGAGGAGGAGGAGGAGGAGGGCCAGAGTAAGCCCAAGATGCATCAACCGATGCTGCAGTGCACCCTCCCATCCCAAGTCTCCTCCTCGTAAGTCCACAGAAGTATTCCTTTCCACTGTGGGCGTCCCCCTTTGAATGACGAACGGCTGGTCGGTCCGCCAGTTAGACAAGGGCGCCTGTAGTAAAGGATCCTCTCTCCACTTGAAGGACGCCCAGGGTAGCCCCATGTTGAGACGCTCATGCCCTCCATCCGCGTAAGCGTTGCAGGATGACAAGGTCGTGGACGTATGCTCCGCGGAAGTCCCACGCGAGAGCCCTTCAAGGAGGCCCAGGGATAGCCTCACTTGAGAAGAGCAGGCACTCCGTACGCCTAAGCGTTGCCGGATGTCAAAGTTGCGACGTTTGCTGTTCGGAAGTCTCACGCGAGAGCCCCATTTCGAAGGAGGAGCCGCCTTCAATGTATGTTAGTTGTTGCACAATTTGGAACGTTGGGTCGTAGAGGTCGAGGGAGGACCACGTAAAGATAAATGGTGGACGTTGTATTCGAATGCGCGCGAGGCCAAGGGGAGACCCCAATACGGTGGGGCGTTCTGAAGGAATGTGCCCGGGAGGCTTCAGACCTTGGAGGAGTCCGTATATGATGGGGGCGGCTGTGATACCCACGGCCGATCCACGATTGGAGTTCCACCGGCTCCCAGACCCTGGAGTCTTCATCCAAGGGTTCATTGTCCAGTGCCCTCACCTTCTTGGAAAGAGCCGCCGTCCGCTCGCACAGCCAAGGACGGTTTGGAAGCCATGGCCGATCCACGATTGGAGTTCCACCGGCTCCCAGACCCTGGATTCTTCATCCAGGGGTTCATTGTCCAGTGCCCTCACCCTCTTGGAGAGAGCCGCCGTCCGCTCGCACGGCCAGGGGACGGCTCGGAAGCCGAGCCTGCACGGCGCCGGGGCGACGGCCCCTTGCTGAGAACGGCCCGCCTTGTCGTACCTGTTCGGCTGTATACAACGGTGGTTTGCGGCGCCAGCGAAGCGAGAGCCCCACTGTGAAAGCCGTGCATCTGCTCTGGAGGAGGAGGAGGAGGAGGAGGAGGTTCACGCGTCAACGCGATCCGAAGTCATCTGCTCCTGGGGGCCTCCCGCGGGGACGAGGAGGAAATGGCGACGGGGAGCTGGGAGCGCCTGGGGAGGGACTGCAGCGTGCGGGAGCGCCCGGGAGCGTCGTGGAGCGTCCGGGGCAGCCCGGGGGGGCGCTGGAGTCCAAAATCCGAGTCGGCACAAGGCGCCTGAAACGTATTGCTCGATTATGAATGTACGGTCGGTGTATGCTGATTTGGTTTGCATGCTGTGTCCAGGGTCTCTTCGGGGCCAAGGGGTGGGCCGATACTGGAGAGCAGCAGGTGCGCGCCGAATACGGGCTTCTGCATGAGATGGTGGGAGTTAGGTCGTATGGATGCGCACCGAATGGTGTTTTTGACATGAGAGAATGAAGGAGTAATTAACAGATGTTGCGTAAGATGGTGAGGGTTGGGTCGGATGGATGTGCAGCGAATCGAATCTCGTGCATCGAATGGTGAGGGTTGGGTCGGATGGACGTGCGCCAGCTAGTTGCGTTTTACATCGGACGGCGAGGGCTGGGCCGTGCGGATGTGACCAGAGTTGCATGATGCCGCTTAGGATGGTAAGGATTGGATCGGACGGATGTGCACAGAATAGTTTTTGTTGTTTGCATCGGATTGTGAGGGCTTAGTCGTTTGAATGTGCGCGGCGCTGAAGCAAGAGCCACATTTTGAAAACGAACGGGCCCCCATCCGTGAAATTGTTGCAGGTGTTTACAACGAGTGTGCGCGGCGCTGACGCAAACGCCACACTTCGAGAACGACCCGCCCTCCATCCGTGAAGTTGCTGTAAGTGTTGGAGACGAATGAACGCGGTGCTGAAGCGAGAGCCACATTTTGAAAACGACCCGCCCTCCATCCGTGAAACTGTTGCAGAGGATCATGCTTGGTGAGGAAGTCTCAGGCGAAACGCCCAGGCCGGCCTACGGACACGTCTGGTGGTTCGACAGCGAGGAGCCATTCTGCATAGAAAAGGAAGGAGGAGGAGGCGGAGGAGGCGGAGCACCAGGAGGAGCAGGAGCAGGAGCAGCGGCCAGCCTGGAAGGGGCGGCCGCCGCGGAGGAGGAGAGGGCCAAGCGGCGGCGCTGCGCGGGATTGCACATGTCCTCTTGCGTCCTGAAAGTGGGGGATCGCCCTGGCGAGATCGCGCAGGCGGCCATCCGTATGCTGGCCGTCATGGCCCGCGGCGAAGCGAAGGCATCCGCATCGGTTGGTGGTTTTTGGCAGGATGCCAGCGTTGTCGTGCAGGCATCGGTGGCCTGGCGCATCGCGAACGCTTGCGTCCGCTTGGACTCCATGACCCTGGCGGGCTCGAGGTGAAGCCGTGGGGCGGACGCAGCGGGCCCGAGGGCTGCGCGCACCGCAGACGCAGGGAACAGAGGAGGAGGAGGAGGAGGAGGAGGAGGAGGAAGAAGAAAACGACGCGGTGCAGCCGGAGAAGGCAGAGGGAGTTGAGGAGACGACGGCGAGTGAGCGCCGACGAGGAGGAGGAGGACGAAGTAGAGGCCGAGGGCAGCGAGTGGCGCCGGAAGAGGCTGGAGGAGGAGGCGGCGGAGGAGGAGGTTGAGATGGAGAGACGGCGAGGCAGGCGCCGAGCCGACGGCGACTGGGCCGCAGTCAAGCCGAGGGCGCCAGTTGAGGGCGAGGTGACGCTGGCCATAGAGCCGACGAAGAGGTGGAGGTGAAGGTGGACGCGGCGGAGGACGAGCCAGGGGAGGACGCTAGGCCCTGAAAGGCGGGCGCGGAAGTCCGAGGCGCAAGGTGGGCAAGATGCGGAGGGCCCGTGGAGGGTCCCTCCGCGGTTCCGTCGCAGGTTTGCCCGGGGACATCCTGGGAGGCAAGGCCCTCTGGCGCACCCCGGCGACCACGCGGCCAGTCTGCCCGGGTCCGCCATGGTGCGCGCTGGACGTTTCATCTCCTTTGTGCGCTGCGCGCCCAGCCTGCCAGACTCGCGGCCGCAGCGGGAGGAACATGAGGAACAGGATTGGGAGGAGGACCCGACATTGGAGGAGTGAGGAAAAGGAGAAAGAGGAGGAGAATGAGGAGGAGGAGGAGGAGGAAGACGAAGAGGAGGAGGAGGAGGAACGGATCTGAGGGAAGAGGATGGGAAGGCGAAGGACGAGACGTCTCCATGGTTTCGCCGCTTCATCCTCCCCCTCCTCCTCCTCCTCCTCCTCCTCCTCCTCCTCCTCCTCCTCCTCCTCCTCCTCCTCCTCCTCCTCCTCCTCCTCCTCCTCCTCCTCTCCCTCCTTTTGGCGCTAGACCGACCTAAGGTTTCCCTGTGGCACTCTTGAAGAAAAAGGGAGCAGTATAGTGCGACTCGGGTCAAGATACACCTGGCGGGCGCCGCGGAAAATGAGATAAGTCAAGTTCCGGCCAGTAATAGAAAAAGCGAATAGGCGCCCGCCTGGTCTTCGAGGTTGGCACAAACCTTAGTTACCAAGAACCCCCATTGTATGTAAAAACCATCTAGATAAGCCCCCATGCTTAATAGGTAGTGCTACCCCGGTAGGCAAGAAGCAGTTAAAATATGCGGTGAAAGACGCCGTGTTGAACGGAGGGTCCCAGATCGCTTCACACGTGGGCAGATTGTTCACGTATAAAGCTTGGTACCTTAAAAGGGCCAGTGTCATTTTCGGAATAAGTGCGCCGCGCTTGCACCTAGAGAAAGGAGCTGCCATGACGCAGTATGGCCTTATGCAAATTGATACAGGGTTTTGTGTGATAACTCCGAACCTAAGCTGGAGAGAGGTGCCACCAGTGTGCCGGATCGCGAGCGAAAGACGGAGGGTGTAAAGCTGAACAGTGACAGAGGAAGAGTGGTTGACGATACGTAGGGTGGCCTGTTTGGAGGTTGGCTTGGTCCGAAAAATCAACTAACAAGGTCAAGTCGGCCTTGCGGGGCCTACTTCTGTAGGGACCCAAACGTTAGTGCTGCTGGGTTCTTGTGACTGACCCCTAACCTTGAAAGAACGAGCTGCCTCCGCGCCACCATCCAAGCCCCCTCCCCAATCTCCGAGATGTACGAAGAGTGTCGAGAAGCGGAGGTGGGAAAGACTGGGGCTGCAAATGGGAGGGTACTATTATTAGCAACTGTGTGCCCTTGGGTTTGGAGTAAGAGGAGGGAAGACTGTGGGTGTCCCTCAAAGTCGGCCGATAGTGCCTCACCGCAACTGGGTACCGTAGAAACCATATAGTAAACAACGAAGCGATCATCGAGGTCAGGGCGGCAGTACACTTGGCCTACAAAAGTGTCTTGACTGTGGATGTACGCGCAGTGATGTTGCCATACGATTTTTGGATAACCACTAACCCTCTGAAGATAAATCTGCAATCCTAGGGCTGCGGCCCAGGGTTTTGTAGGATAACCTAGGATAACTCCGAACCTGCAAGTGAGAGATTGCCACCAGCGTGTCGGAGGAGCCGCGAGGGGAAGTCAGAGGGTGTAAAGCTGTACAGTGACAGAGGAAGAGCGGCTGCCGATGAGTAGGCTGGCCTGTATGGAGGCTGGCCTGGTGAAAAAAGCAGCTCGCGAGGTCGAGTCGGCTTTGCGGGA